AGACGGAAACATTACTTTAAATGAACCGAATTTAGTGCAGTTTCATGCCCGGATGGATTCGATATGAAGTCATCATATAAAAGTGAAATATAACCATCAAATAACAAGAAATCATCACTGTTCAATCGTAAAGTAATAATTTTTTTTGAAATTCCGGCTAGTCTTAAGTGTCAGTCGCATAAGTTGTGAGACGGAAAAGTTACCGGCGATCTGCCCGAATGAAGTGACTAAAGCGAAGTAGGCGATTATCTCATTGCCAGCACCAACCAATGATTTCGAGAACGATAAACAAGACGGATAGATGGAGATGTAGAAGGAGAGTACGAACCCATTATACATGAATATTGCCGATAGTAGCAGCATTCGACGATCACGAAGTAACATAAAGATTCGACCTGAACGATTTTCAGTAGTTCAGATGAAGATTATTTGAGACTGTGAAGTTCTCATTCGTTTTATGAACTCAACATGAGTTACTGAAGTTACTATTGTTACCATTCCTGTGAACAGTGAGCCTGATTTAAGCAGCGCATTAGACTGATCACCTGCACATATCTATTATTCGTCAAGGAACTGACGGAGTCATCAAGGACTCCGGAATTTTGATCTAGAACTTGACCGTTGACTTACCGATTGTTTTGCGGAAGCTGGCTTTACTAGCTGCGCTTCGTTCCGAGAAATCGGGAAGAAGGAAGAAGAGAACATTCGAGAGAATCGTGAATACGGAGAGACCTTCGAAGATATACCTAAAGTGAGAAAATGAACGGTGTTTAATGGAAGAAATCTTTGTGAAAGGAGATTTTATTGAAAAAACCATTGTAAATGCACATGGCTAGTAGAATCTCGCTGAATTATCCTAAAACATCTGATGATTCCTCAATCATTTCTAAATTATCTGTTTCATGCTCTATCTTCTCTTAATAACTCGACATTGAATAGTGCCGACTAACTATCTACGATTTTGATCCATGTAATCGTCTTCACTTGTTTAATTTTAATTAATTCGGTGTGCCTCATCCAGATTTGAGTCAACCGTGTCTTACGGAGAATGCACTTTTCTTATGTTCAGAAAAATTAGTCCCCTTACTCTGCTCACTGTTGTCATTTCATTGCTATCAAGTCCGATTCTCTCCTCGGTTTATATATTGACTGTTTTATGCTTCCTATTTTGACAATTTGATTAATTGTTTGCTCGCCGGTTTTCTTCAATAACAAAAAGTATTACAACAACAAATTTGCTGAATTCGTTCATGAACAAGTTGATTTTATGGGAGACGATCGAGGCGGAACTTTATTTGCGTGATTGATGCGTCTACTTACGTTATAACTTCCATTGACATCACTTGCGATTGACCAGTGCCACGAAAGATCAACAACAACAGTATTCCACCGAACAACAAACTGAAATTTTTTAGCTCATTTATTATCAGCGAATGATTTTCGACAAAAACCAGTACTGGTAGCATTGAAACACTTCAAAAATTTATCGAATTCTCTATTCTACATGATGCGCATGCGATGCCGTTCATATGATTTCCATCATCAGCTGATCGTGATGGGTCTCGAAGAAATCAAAAAAAGAATCAGTCATTTTGAGTGCTGTTGATAACACACTGGATATTTACCATATGTGAGGACTAAATGAGAGTATGGATAATTTGCAATCCATAGATCAAAATTTTTGATATATCTATGCATAAATACATCCTACTCATTAAAACATTGCTTCTGGAATGTATTCATTGAATTCTATTCATTTGATACAGTTTTTTTACAGGCGAATACTTTTCATTAGCAAATCCAAAGCAACACAATTTATAAGGTGGATAATTGAATGGCGAATATTACCTGCCGAAATTCAATCCCCAATGTAATCCACTGTTTCTGGATGCGTTGCCAGGTGTGGTTATTTCTCTCATGTACACACCGTGCGCATTCCAAAGCACTAAACTAATCAGAGTGATTTGCACATAACGAGAGAATTTCATTATTAAATGGACATTACTAAACATCTTTGCAGTTTTTTTTTTAAATTCTAATCTTCTGCGAGAACTTTGTCTGCAGGGACTAT